TTGGCTTCCCACCAGGGATTCTTGGCTTCCCGCCAAGGGGTTGGGTTGTTCATCCCCTGGAGCCTGCTGCCCTGCTTCTTGCTGGGTCCGGAGTCCTATAAGATGAGCGTCTGGCGATACCTCTGCAAGGATCTTGGCTTTTCGCCAAGGGGTTTGGGACGTTCGTCCCCTAGAGCCTGCTGCGTTGCTTACTGCTAGGTCCGGAGTCCTGTAAGACGAGCGTCCGACTTTGTCCCTGTCCCAAGGCACTTTCTTAAACTACGATACATATGTCCCCTGGGACAAGGTACCCGCTGACTGTTGTACATACGTCCCCTGGCCCTGCTGGGGACGAGCCTCTCCCAATCAGCGGAAAGGTGCTTCGTTGTTTTGGGCCTCCCGGGGACGTGGTTTTCCCCACTGTCGACAAAAGGTGTCGACCCTCGGCCCCTTATTGGAGGCATCAAGAGACATGCACAACTCTACTCCTCTTCACCTCACTACACTCGCCTTAAGGAGTGGAGGACTAGAAGTGCGGGTGTAACACCGACCCCGAGCATATTTACTTTTAGTAAATTATGTAATAAACCTTGAAAGATGATTTATGAATTTGCGTAATTGTAAATTTTTATTATTTCTTTTACGTGAATAGTAAATTGCATGTGGGGCCCACAGCGGGAACGGGGACCGCCCGATAATTCCCGAACCACATATCATATTCATCTTGGCCTAGATAATATGTATATGGTGGTGGATATTTTAATTGGGCCATAAGAAAGGCATGGGGTTGACCGGTGGGTCAAACGGGGCCCAATTACCAGTATTGGTAATTTAACGGATAACAGCCCGAAATGAGTTTCGGAGACTCCTAAATTAATGTTGGGGAATGTACATCTATTCTAAAGGCCCATAATTATTAGGAACACGTGATATATTTTGCCCGGCCCGATAAAATAAAATACGACTAAAGTAGTCCGAAAAATACAACTTTCGGGGCCGATTATACATACCGGGACATAATGGGATGACCTCCCACATAAGTGGGGGCCACCCCACGTTTTTAAGGGTGCTGAATGACCAGAGTAATGGGAATGGGACATCCTAACATGGCTTGGGCGGACTTATGAAGGAGAGGGTAGCTGGGGGGACAAACCACACCCCTCCTTGTCTCATTCATGCACCATCCTCATAAGGTGAGGAGACTTGATGGACTCCTCCCTCATTCTACACCATAAGGAGGATAGAATAGAGAGATAAGGTCCAGGGAAGAGCTCTCAACATTCTGGAGCTTGAGGAGTCAAGAAGAGGGAAGAATCCATAGAGGAAAAAGGCTAAGCCTTGAGGTAAGAACACATATGGTTCTTTTAACTAGTTTTATGGTGTATGATTTTTAAGAAATCATATGGTGAATTAAACATGATGTTCTACACGTTTAAAAGTGTAGAATATTGATATAAAGTGGTGATATTTAACTTAGAAGAGTTGGTGAATCGATAGGAGTCGAAATCGCCGGAAACCGCCACTTTAAGGGAGCTGCCCGTTTCTGCAGACTACGAAAGCCGCCCGGCTTTCGTGAAAGCCGCCCGGCTTTTGCCCAGCAGCTCAGTTTTACACCTTCAATCGGCCTAGAACGGGGATTGATCGAGGGGCTTAGCAAAGGCAACTATTTCAGCACTTCATAAGGTGAGGATGGCTGACTATATTGCTTATAATTAGTGAGTTGATTTCATGAGATTACCGAAGGTAATTAAATGTGTTTTTTATGGATTATTAACGATTAATAATGCCTAAAAAAATGAAAAGATTAAATGTCTAGAGAAAAAGGAGCATGATATACAAATTTAGGAATAAATTGTGTATGTTCATGTGTTATGAGTATGTTGACTTGAAAGTGGAACTTGTTATGAAACATGTGTTGAAATATACTTTTTACTTCATATTAGAATATATGAGTGATTAAAAGTGATATTTTGGATATTGACATAAATGATATTTTCAAAGGAAAATCAGTTGGAATTGTCTATATGACTATGAGTTGAGAACTTGGTTTGTTGATATTAATTCGACTAGTATTAAGATGCTAGTTGGACATTAAAATGAAATGTTGTTAAGATTGATCCTAAGGTTGGATTGTGAAATACTATGCCTTAAGTAGTCTTAAGAGATGCTTTAAGGTAGGAAAGTATGAACTTTAAGTTATATTAGGGGTAGGCCTTAAGGGATACCCAAGATAGTGTGAATATTAAATTGATCCTAAGTATAGGATTGGCCTGCGGGTGTGATCGGTGATTCTTGTGGATAGCCGGTTGAATTATGGAAATAGTAAGGACCATGGCCCTTCCCGACTCTAGAGAGCGGGGTTGGATAGCATGGACTTACATCGTGATCACGGGTTAGGGTGGAATCCGAATCGGAGACCTAACTAGGTTCCGGTAGCGGTAACACATAAGATAGGACCCCGAAGGGCCTTACCTTCCTACGGGATGATGGGTACGAGTCCAGGGGCGGGATGTTGGAGTCCGAACTGGGAGCCTCATGAGGTCTCGGACAGCGGTAGCAAGTCCCGTAGAAATAATAGGACCCAAGGGTTGGGTTGTGCAAACGATAAATGAAAAAGGATATATAAGAAGGGCCGTGTGCCGACAAATAAATAAATTTACTTATTATGAAGATGATAAGTGGGGAATATAAATTATTATTTATATTATGATATCACCCTATTTTGAGGGTCTTGGAAATTAAAACGTTGATTATACTTAGTATAGTTGCTATTGTACTTGTCAAATATTTCCAAGTACTGACCTCCCCTTCACGGGGGAGGCCACCTCACAGTTTCAGGTAGAACTTGAAGGTTGCTACCGGCGCCCGTTGCTTCGGGGATATTCAAAGGAGAAGACGTGGTTCGTGCTTCTTCTGTTTCCTGTTTTCAAAACAATTATAACAATGCTCATGGATACTGTTTTATTAATAATTACTTTGGGGGCTTGTATGCCTAGTTATGCCAAGTGTGGCTTGAACAATTGTATTAACGCTTCCGCTACTTTAAATGCATGTTTTACATTATGTTTGTTTATGGATGTACTATGTGTGAATGATATTCATGACGCCTTGTATAGTATGGATGAGTTGGACTACGGTTGACTATTCGTACTGTACGGCGGGTTGTTGACGTGTCCGGCTAGGTCCGGGGCGTGACAGCGGGGGACTCAGCACCTCCGTTATATATATGAAGAAACATAAATTCAAATTTTTCATAAGGTTTGCCACATGCACCAACGACATCATCACATCATATGTAGATTCAGTTGCCACAACAACAAGTATATATACATAGCTCCTCGGCCCCAGAACCAGTGGTGATGGTCTCTGTCCTGTGACCTTCAGGTGAGGATTTCCCCACACGATTGCCTCAATCAGGGCTCGCCAATGAGATCGGACCAGCAGCATGGAAATCCGGGCGAGGCGTCTCAGCAAAGACAGAGGTGTACTCCACTAGATCACGATAGATCAACACATAGCTCTACTCTCGCCTCAAGGAGTGGGGGACTCCTAATAGAGTATATAGACTCAAACCCCCGGTCTTACGACTATTGGGCCTAGACAGCGGCCCACACAGATGAAATCCAGAAGATAAAGATTAAAGTTATGGATCAAGAATATTCACCTCGGCCACCTCGGCCAGGACCTTCATCGAAAAACTCTACAGTGTACTTTGCGGAATAAACATATGTAGATAGGCCACTAGGAGCTCGGTCCACTTGTCTCCTATAAATACTCCGTTTGAGAGCCATGTAAAGGGTTGAACTCCCATTTATACACATGACTTTTTCTCTCTAGCTTTTGCTTCTTTCTAATACTATACTCTATCAGCCTTGTTTGTCTAAAAGGACAACAACCGCTATCTGCGGGTAAAAAAGAGTAAGTATCCTAAATAGGATTAAATGGAAATATAATTGTACAAATATGATTAAAACCAAAATATTCACAAATAGGACTAAATATTAATTTTCAACTCTTAATACTTCTAATCTAATTTCTTAATTGCCCCCTAGTTCCCTTGGGCAACAAGGGTAGTGCAGTGGTGGCAACAGTGATCGGCGGAGGTGGAGCTTCGGCAATCGGTGTCGGTAGGCGGTATGGGGGAAAATCTGTTTTTTTTTTGCCCAGCCGCTGCGGCGAGCTCCGGCGGCGGCCGCTGTCCGATAAGGAGCAGGTGGTGGCAAGTGGAAGCATGAGTATATAATTGCACCTTTATTTTAGGTGTAGTTACTAGGGACCATACCCGTTCAATGTGATGTAGAGGCGTAGAGCTCGTTTGCTGACCCTATTTCTCGGTATATCAACTATATTATCTAACATCTTCACCAAACACGAAATTTTTGATTTCACGCGCTAAATTATGCGCTAAATTATGTAACAATCAAAATAAGTAAAGTTGAAGTTACTTTTCCAGTTAAATGAGTTGAAGTTACTTGAAAGGATCATTTTAAGTATTTTTCATATATATTTTTTGTATTGTATTAATAAAATATATCTTATGTGTATATTTTTTCATAAATTACCGGATTCAGCCACTACACTAGAAACTTCAAGCCTTTGGTGACCACATTTTTTTGGCTTATCGAGCTTATGTGTCAACTTTTCACCAAACACGTAACTTTTGATTTGACACGTTGAATTGTGTAATAATAAGAAAACGTAAGGTTGAAGTTACTTTTCTGACTGTATGAGTAGAAATTATTGTGGAAGATCATTTTAGGTATCTTTTCATATAACCTTTTCGTTATTTCATGAATAATTTTTTCCCTAAATAAGCAGAATCACCAAATTCAAGCATTTTATCCAAAATTTCAGAAATTTCAATAGAATTTTTTGACTGTATGAGTAGAAATTATTGTGGAAGATCGTATCTTTTCATATAACTTTTTATTATTTCATGAATAATTTTTTCCCATAATCAGCAAATCCAAACATTTTATCCAAGAAGTATTACTAAATGGTTTTTAAAATAGTTTTAGACTTTTAGTTTTGCAGCAGCACCTTGGCACGCACCAGAAGCAAATTTTTGCCATTGAAAATTTGTACCGGTGGGGGTAGCTATGCTAGAAAAAATGTACAGAGCCATCGAAAATTTGAAGCTAATATCCTCCACTCTCTAAAAGCTTCCGGGGATAATGTCGATCCATGGCATCTTCTCTTCTCCTTCAACACTTGGCTTCCCCACTCAAGAATTGCGTTCTTCGTCGCCTTCTTTTTCACATCTATTAAAGTTTCCCACATCCACTTCTCTCCTATCACCTCACTCTCTTTCGCTACCCATTACTTGTGTTACGCTCAAAAGGCCCGGGGTCGGGATTCATCTCTCCCGAGTCGCCACGCAACTCTCTGAGGAAATTGTTCGAACAGAAGAAGAGCAGCCTGGGGAGGAAGCTTCTGGAAACAGAGTTTTAGCCCAAAATGTTCCCTGGTCCTCCACCGCAGATGATATTCGTGCTCTTTTTGAGAAGTATGGCACTGTGGTTGAAATTGAGGTTTGCATTCTTGTTTCTTTAACCTTATTGATGGCTATTTACTAAAATTATCTGAAGTGGATTTGTATTGTTCTTAAATGTGTTCTCTCTCCGTGGGTAAGCTTGCTATGCACAACAGGATTAAGAACAGAGGTTTAGCATTTGTAACTATGGGTTCGCATGAGGAGGCTTTGGCAGCTCTGACCAATCTTCATTTGACGGTAAAGATACTCTATTAATAAGAATTATATTCTTTTTATTGCTGTAAACATCCTGCCCTCCCTATAATAGTTGAGCTACTTGTTAAGTTTTAGGACTCAGTTGTATGAAATTAAGCTCCAATGAGAAATGTGATATGTTAAGACATCGTCTTCCATCTTGAAAGGTCAAACAAAAGTTGCACAAGATTGTCTTCCATTCTAAAAGTCCCAAAAGGAAAACAAAAGTTGCTCATGATTTTACATAGTGATTCTGCGTGGAACAAATTCTCAATTAACAATCAAATTACAACCGAACACGATTCTAACAAGACAATGAAGTTTTATTCTACTTAATAGGAGGAGTTCAAGATCTTATATAATGTTTTATACTTTTATTATATTATACTCCGTACAATTTTAGTGTGAGACAAATACTTCAACACAATCCTTAAGGATTGATATGCTATGCTCCAACGTGCTACTATCTTATGTGTGTCGTCATCATCATCATCATAATCATCATCGTCTATGAGCACATGGATTTCATTATAATTAGTTATCGTGTGAAATTTTCCTTCTAACTTATCTTTTCAGATAGAACCGTTGGTCTTAATAGATTAATCCCCAACTAGATGTTAACTTTAAAGTGTATTAATATAGACTAAACACTAGGACCATTTCTGCCTCCTAACAAATGCCTAGTGACTTTTACACCATTATGATCTTTTCTCAAGATTCTAGTTATACATAATGGTTTAAAAGCTTATTTCAATTATTTTGGTCATTTGTTTGCAAGTGTGAAAGATGGATATCAACTTATCAATAGAATATGGGTACACTATGGTAATATTGATGGATACATCGATATCGGTATTTGTAAAAAATGTTTATGTAAAAAATAAACATGTGAATATTTAATTAGATTTAGGAAATAACATAAAATATCAAAGTTTATGGATAAAAACTTTAATTCTTCAATGCGATATTTAATTTTTATAAAGGGACTTGAGTTACCAATAAATAAAATAACAGAAAAACTGTAACAAAAAAACTAGTTCCAACTTCTGAATTAGGTTCTCATACCCAAGAAAAACCCAATTAGAGATATGAACCAGTTAAATATACCTAATTAGCATATTTAGCCTATTATGAAGTTACCAAAAGTTTCTAGGTTACGTTGTTAATTCTCATCTCTCTGCCACATCATCACCATAACATAGCTGGTTCACTGTCACAGTGAACTATTTATTTCTTCATACTTTTTCCCCTATTTCACCACCCCATCAACACCTGGCTGGTGGCTACATTGCCACTTCCATCCACTACCGCCAGTCATTGACAGCCAATATTTGTTTTTTCTGTAGACATTATCTAGAAAAAAGTAGCTGCCTCCAACTGCTTTCGCCTCTCAGCTCCATCAGTCACCCGTCTGGCAATTTTGTACTCCAATATTTTTATATATGTGAGGGACATATACCGGCTGCTGACCACCATGGGAAAAACCAGTACTTTTACCTGATAGCTTATCTATATAGAAAATTTTTGGATGACAATGGTCCTTATATTCAACATAGTTATCGTTAGAGGAAAAGAGAAAGAGTTAGACTGCGGGGGTTGGCAATGGCGGTGCTGGTTCTGGTGACAAGCATCCGGGTGGTAGTGTGGGTTGGTGGAAATAGGGAAACAATAAAGTATAAAAGAAATAAAATAGGAAAAGATAGATGATGACAGTGAGGTGGAAATAGGGTGACAAGGTAATATAAAATGCTGATAGTAACCTGCTAAAATTGTTAATTGTGTGTTTTAAACAAATTTGTTTGTTTAACTGAATAGTTTAGGTACGAGCACCTAATTGAGGATTTAGAAATAGCATTAGAAGCGCAAACAATTTAGTGAGCTATTTTGCTCTATTGGCTTGATAATATGATGAAATAAAGCAAAATGGCTCATTAAACTTGTATCTGCTTTTTTGTTATGAAGCAGTAGTCAGTCCATGCAATTTTTGACGCGATTTTCATCATGGGTCGTCCGTAAACAGTTTATTTGTGCTTAAGTACGCTTCTGTAGGTGGGAGCCTTTGTGGCATTGGGGTAATGTTGTTGTTGTTGTGTTGTACACGTCAAGTGTATACATGCTCTGAAGATATTATAAATGTTCAAAATTACTTGAGAAAATAATATTTGGTGTACGTTCTGCATGTCAGTATCAATATTAATACTCTGGTGAATAGACATCAGTGAAATATTGGTTAGTGTCGGAGATACTTCATCCATTATTTTATGTGCTTGATAGGAATTTGAAGGAAGAATTTTGAAGCTTAAATGGTTGATACCAATGATAAAGAAACCATCTTCTTCTTATCCAACAGCTCCTAAGCCTGTGCTTATTCACAGCTTGTTTGTGAAAAACTTGCCATTCCAAGCAAGATCGAAAGACCTGAAGGAGTTCTTCAAATTCGAAAAAGGAAATGCCGTTTCTGCAAAGATCATATTTTATGAAAACCCATGGCGTTCTGCCGGATACGGATTTGTTGCCTTCAACACCAAGGAGGAGGCTGAAGCTGCACTGTCTGCATTTCAGGGGAAGGTACACGTCATTGGTTGTGATGTTCTTAGGTCTATGGTTTCTTATGCTTTGGTGTTTAATCTTGTTGAATTGCAAACTAATACTTTTATTGGTATAACTTTGAACTCACAAATTCACACTTTCTAAAGACTATTATAATGCTTATATCAAGAAATAATGGAAAACCAAGAATTTCTGTTTTTCACAGGAATTTATGGGTAGACCAATTAAGGTGGAAATGAGCAGAAGATTTCTAGGAGAGCACACAAAAGTGGATATTGAATCTCAAAGTACATCACCTGCCCTTGATGCTTGAAAGGGTGTGTAAAAAAATCTGTATACCATTCTTAGCTTGAATTGCTATTTGAGTTGGGGTTTTATGCGAATGTAAATATTATGGTTAAAACTGCCTTTTTCACAATCTTATGCTCCGTACTTTTTTTAACAATTTAGTCTACAGTTGTCATGTTTGTTTTGGGTTTAATGCACCAAACCGGCTCGATATATAAATTTGATGGATTAGCTCGATGTGATTTAAAAATGCGTCAAACCCCTTTGTGTTATAATTAATTATTCATTCTCAAAGCCTCCTCTACGAACAAATTTTATAATTTTGAAATCACTTGTCTTAATTGAATGATTGAATATGCAAGTAATTTTGTTAAGATTTCTAAATTATACAAATGTGCTAATCGGTTTTCATTTATTTGGCCTTAAATTTGTTCGTAGAGGTGATTTTTCGCATGAATAACTATAACACATTAACACGGGGGATTTGATTTATTTTTTAAATCAAATGGAGCTAATGCATCGAATTTATATTTCTCAACCGGATTTGGTGCATTAAACATGTTTATGTTTATTTTTACCATGTTGCCTTGATTTTGCTTAGTATATGGTTCGTTTTTCTCATGGGAGGATGACCTTGACTTCTCCCAAAATAGCATCTTGTACTAGGAAAGGCTATTAAAAGGGCAGCCCGAGCTTGATGCACATTGACATCCCCGCGAAGTGAGGCACCTACCAAGGGTCCCACGAAGAGGGTGTATAAGGGCAAATGTTACGTGCTCATTTTGACCAGAGGCCGCTCCCAAGAATTAAACTTGTGACCCCTCGGTCACACGGCAACACCGTAATGGAGTTGGGATGTTTTTATTTGGATTGAAATTTTCTTGTCTGATTTGTTTTGGTCTGGCCTTGTGACGAGCACTTTTGTCAAGGTGCGTCAAAATAAATTCAATACTAAACACTTATACGTAGTACAGCGTAGTAGAGTTCGTATCCACAGGGAAAGGAATGATTTTCTTTCTATGATACTTAGTAAATAAAAAGGGGGGATTTGGTTTGAGTGATTTAATTCAATTAAGAACTAAGATGAACAACCTATATGTGTTTAATTCAAAGATAAAAGGACTTGGCATTGCTACTTTCCACTTGTTGATATATTTTAGTCGATCATTGTTATATCTATAACTTATTCCCTCTCGAATACTCAATCGGGGAGTATATCCACTTCATCGAGGGTAGTTATTAACAACGACCGTTCATTAATAATCCTTACTATTAATCAAATATAGAACAACGCCGTATACCGATTTAATAGTAGCATTTAATCTTTCTAACTCCTTGATGAAATCAATTGAGATTGATAACCTTAACACAAGCGATTTCGGTTTAACCAACAAAATTAATCCCTCTTAAGTTTATTAACCACGACCGTGCATTAATAAACCGAAGTTACTTACTTGTGAAACCATCAACGATTAACCATCGGTTCGTTGATCGTTTCTAGTAATAATTAATATATGAAACAAAACTAGTTGATCCTTTAAGTAATGTTCAAAATATTAATATGAAATAAGAGTAGGAATTAATTAATATTCAAGGAAGAATATTATTAAAGAAGATGAATCCTACTATAATTAATATTAAGATGTTAACTAATTGTCATCTTAGCAACACTCCCCAATATTAATATAGAGGAAGAAAATATCATTCTAACTAATTTCGAGATGTTAACTAATTGTCATCTTAGCAACACTCCTCAACATCAATATAGAGATGGTATTAAGGAAAGAACTATTAATTAATATTCAAGGAAAGAAGTTAAGAAAATAACTCACAACTTTGATAATCAACAAGTTTCAAGAGCAACACCAAGAATGGAAGTTTAGCTCCTCATTTGGAGACTAAACATAGCTAGAAAAATATAAAGAAATGCTATTCTAAACTGAGCTAAAGAGTATGGAAGAAGGGATTTCCTTTTGTGAAGAAAAAGTGTGCTATTTATAGGTGTTTTTCAACACCTTTGGCCGGGTACCCGACCGGGTCAAGTACTCACCCGACCGGGTCCGGTCAAAATCAGATATTTCCCCACGTTCTGGTGATCTTCGGCATGTTAAAGTGTCCGGGTCAAGTCAGACCCGACCGGGTGGGGTAGGGGACCCGACCGGGTGAGTGCAAAAATCGGATTTTCTTCACGTTCGGGTGATCTTTGCACACCGGGTTGTCCCCGGTCACTTCTCACCCGACCGGGTGAGGTAGTGGGCCCGATCGGGCCATGCACTTTCTTTGCATTTTCGTTTTTCACTTCTTACCCGACCGGGTCAAGTGTAATACCCAGTCGGGTATTTGCTCCTGGGCAGCCAAATCTTCTTTTTCTTCACTTCAAAGTCTTCCTTTCCAACACCACAAATCCTAACTAAACTTTACAACTTACAAATAAAGACTAAAATACAATTACAACTGAAATCACATAAATGTTTACAAACTAAATAAAACGTCAAACAATTAACATAAATCAAACATAAAAACATGTAATTATGCACTACTAATTAGTGTGCATCAAACACCCCCACATTTAAACCTTTACTCGTCTAGAGTAAATCAAATCCGATCCAAGAAGTCCTTAAAATGACAAGAATATCAACACACACATCCACGAGTGTTTTTAGAAACACATAAAGTAAATCCCCAAAAATATAATAGTAAAGAGGGTCTTCAACTCCATATTTCTTTATCAACCTCAACCTTTTTTTTTCCGTTACCCTTAGGATCCTGCATAAATAAAAGAAAATACTTTCTCTCGTTCTCTCATTTTGCCTAGGTGCCCTTTCGGGTTTTCATCCCAGCTTCCCACATTTTTCTGTTTTAATCCTCACAACTCACTCTTATTTTTGCTTTATTTTTGCTTAAGTTGCCCTTTCAGGTTTTCAACTTAACAAGCTTTTATAATTTTTTTTACAAGAATAAAGAGTATGAATGTGAGTATTCCATAAAACTCTCCCCCCCAAGCTAATCAAAGCACTGTCCCTAGTGCTTGTGTCTAAGATGAATGTGTTTTTTTTTTGGATACTTTTTGGGAGGTTTTGTTGGTGATTCGTGGGTGTGGAGATGAAAAGGGTGAAGAGGTGATGAATGAAATGGGTTTAATTGGTGGATGGATGTAGGAGATATGAAGCTTTTGACTTTTGGAAATGGAGGAAATTTGGGGTGTGGTTCGAAAGGGAAGACAAAGGGGGGCGATTCATTTTTTTTAATGAGAAATGGCCTGGTTTCCAAAAATCGAGATACCCGGCCGGGTGGGGTAGTGTACCTGGTCGGGCGTAAACTGTTCACCCGAGGCATAGGTTTTTGCTGGCTTGCCCGGCCGGGTATGGAAGTCTACCCGGTCGGGCGAAAAATTTATTCTTGTTTTGCTCATGCCTCGCCCGGGTGATTGCCCGGGTGTTTTGTTTTTAGAAGTAACCCGACCGGGTTAGGGTTTATACCTGGCCGGGTCCAATCCCAGTCCATTTTTTTTTTAAATGTGTAAAAATAAAACAAAACAAGTAAACGTACCTTGCTTGGGTTGCCTCCCAAGAAGCGCCTTAGTTAACGTCGCGGCACGACGCCATGGTTGTGTTTAATCGTTCAAGCTTGGATCGTGATAACTCATCTTCTTCAAATTTTCACCCGGGTGACTCTTATAGAAAGACTCAGTTTTTCGACCCTTTTTTGACCTTTCCGGGATCAAATATCCAGATTTCTATCGCTTCATATTGTGAGAGTGTTGGTCCATGATTTTCATTAAGCATGGTCAATGGAAGGGGTTTTGATCCAGGTGGTATAAGAGGGAGTATGAAATATTTGTGTAATCCCACCGTTATTCCTTGCTTATTTGTGAACAAAGAGAAGTCTAACTTATACTCACAATTGCTGAAAATTTCATAGATATCTTTGTCCTTCTCCACCCTTTTTGTTTCCCTTAGAGCCTCAGGAAATGGTGACATGATCTTAGGAATGGCCGGTGGTTGAGTTGAGTTTTCAGGTTCCTCCTCCGGTTGAGCTTTCTCCGTAAGCTCCTCTTCTTCCTCCTCCTCGCCCATGTGGTTCACAATGCTTGGCATTTGTTTCAACTGATTGTCCAAGTTCTGTTTGTTGGACACTGCTTCTTGCGAGCATTGTGACATATTTTGTTGCATATTTGTCACATTGAAAGTGAGAGCTCGGATCATGTCTTCAGTGGACATGCTGGAATAAGAACATGAGTATGGGCTATATGTGTTGGAGAATGAATCACACCTCTCTTGGAAACCAACACCATTCCTTTGTTCAAAGAATTCTTCTCGAAGCTCTGGGCAAAAATCCGTAAGATGCCTTTGTGACATGCAAATGTTGCATGTATGGACATCTTGAGATTTTGAACATGAGATAAACTCTTTTATTAGAGAAGTCAAGTCGGAAATTTGACTCTCTAGGGATGATGTGTTGGTATCCATTTACTCATGCAAGCTCAGAAAATAGAAAAGTAAGATTTTTTTTTTATATTTTTTTTTAATTTTATTTTGAGAAAAAATAAAAAGAAAAATAATTGCCTTTCCCCGGCAACGGCGCCAAATTTGACGAGCACTTTTGTCAAGGTGCGTCAAAATAAATTCAATACTAAACACTTATACGTAGTACAGCGTAGTAGAGTTCGTATCCACAGGGAAAGGAATGATTTTCTTTCTATGATACTTAGTAAATAAAAAGGGGGGATTTGGTTTGAGTGATTTAATTCAATTAAGAACTAAGATGAACAACCTATATGTGTTTAATTCAAAGATAAAAGGACTTGGCATTGCTACTTTCCACTTGTTGATATATTTTAGTCGATCATTGTTATATCTATAACTTATTCCCTCTCGAATACTCAATCGGGGAGTATATCCACTTCATCGAGGGTAGTTATTAACAACGACCGTTCATTAATAATCCTTACTATTAATCAAATATAGAACAACGCCGTATACCGATTTAATAGTAGCATTTAATCTTTCTAACTCCTTGATGAAATCAATTGAGATTGATAACCTTAACACAAGCGGTTTCGGTTTAACCAACAAAATTAATCCCTCTTAAGTTTATTAACCACGACCGTGCATTAATAAACCGAAGTTACTTACTTGTGAAACCATCAACGATTAACCATCGGTTCGTTGATCGTTTCTAGTAATAATTAATATATGAAACAAAACTAGTTGATCCTTTAAGTAATGTTCAAAATATTAATATGAAATAAGAGTAGGAATTAATTAATATTCAAGGAAGAATATTATTAAAGAAGATGAATCCTACTATAATTAATATCAAGATGTTAACTAATTGTCATCTTAGCAACACTCCCCAATATTAATATAGAGGAAGAAAATATCATTCTAACTAATGTCGAGATGTTAACTAATTGTCATCTTAGCAACACTCCTCAACATCAATATAGAGATGGTATTAAGGAAAGAACTATTAATTAATATTCAAGGAAAGAAGTTAAGAAAATAACTCACAACTTTGATAATCAACAAGTTTCAAGAGCAACACCAAGAATGGAAGTTTAGCTCCTCATTTGGAGACTAAACATAGCTAGAAAAATATAAAGAAATGCTATTCTAAACTGAGCTAAAGAGTATGGAAGAAGGGATTTCCTTTTGTGAAGAAAAAGTGTGCTATTTATAGGTGTTTTTCAACACCTTTGGCCGGGTACCCGACCGGGTCAAGTACTCACCCGACCGGGTCCGGTCAAAATCAGATATTTCCCCACGTTCTGGTGATCTTCGGCATGTTAAAGTGTCCGGGTCAAGTCAGACCCGACCGGGTGGGGTAGGGGACCCGACCGGGTGAGTGCAAAAATCGGATTTTCTTCACGTTCGGGTGATCTTTGCACACCGGGTTGTCCCCGGTCACTTCTCACCCGACCGGGTGAGGTAGTGGGCCCGACCGGGCCATGCACTTTCTTTGCATTTTCGTTTTTCACTTCTTACCTGACCGGGTCAAGTGTTATACCCGGTCGCGTATTTGCTCCTGGGCAGCCA